TTGAGGTAGCTGCTGATGTCCTGGATTTTTTTTTAAAAGAAATCTTCCCGGGACATTAAAAAAGTCTGGAGGGGGGGGGGGGGGGGATTTTGTCAGTATTGTGTAATGTTATTTTTCTTTTTATGGTACGTCCTGGTGTTGTTGCAAATCAGTAGTGGCAACTCTTACCACATTCTGTGGGCAAACCGGTCACAAAGAGCAGGTCTCACCCATTTGGTCACGGAACCAAAATGTGCCCGGACTTGTTCCCTGGGAAAGTGTTGGACCCTTGTTTTTGTTAAATGTTCACGGTCCAAATGAACTGTCCAATTGTAAACAGTATCCCAATAAACAGTATACTAAATAAATAGTATGCCAATAGTGCACCACGTCGCCTTGTAAAGAGATCTGTGTGATTTTTAAGAGTGTCCTTTCGTAAAGATTTTATTTGAAACAAACAGGAACCGATTGTAAAAATAAATACATCTGTTTGTGATCGAACGGAGTTTTCCCATGCTTGCAGACTTTGTTTGGTGAAACGAGTGGGTGCAGCTTGTAAAAAAAGGATACTGCGCTCAGTACTTTTTAAACATTTTAAATAAACACGTGGGATTGCATGATGACGGAGTGGACGGAGGAACAGTTATTGTTGATGATGTCCTTTATCTACACTGGCAAATCCTCGTTGAATCTCCACACATTTTTAGAGGAGGGTCTTGCCACCTTGCAATGTTTGGCCATTCACAAGCAATGAGTGGCTTTGCACGCATCAAGGGAATATAAAAAAACTAATTAAGCAATAAGCCGCCTTTAAAACAAAACGAGTGCACAACTTAAGTAGGATGATGATGCGTTTGTGAAACAGTGCAACACAAGCCACTGGGAACGGTTTCCTTAATTCTCAAAATCCCAGTAAACAACTTAATAACAAAACTGTGTTTTTTTTCACACAGTTTACATTTTCACACGTTTCTCTTAATCTTGATGCGTTCCCTTTGGCCATGTCAGTGGGTGTGTTGTTTTCAAATGAAAATCATTCTGTGTGTGCGCGCGTGCGTTTGATCGAGTACACACATGCAGTAGTGTAGTGGTTAGCGCGCTGCGCTACGAACCCAGCGACCCGAGTTAGATTCCCGCTCACGGCCAACACCAGTGACAATTATCTGAACAGATTCTGGGGCTCCCCTAGGTCCACTCAGCCTCAAATATATACATGATGCAGTGTATAAACATCGCCACTCGGGAGACAAAGGCAGCCGGGCACGGTGCTGGCCAGCCACCCCCTCGTGTGCCGTGCCTCCTTCATAGCAACACTTGCCCCAGCAGTGTGTTCGACTATGCGGGGGATCTTTATCTTTTTTTGAGATAGAGATGCATTGACAGTTCTTTTGCACTTGATGGTGCCACCTAAATGTTCTTGTCAACTAATGTGCAAAGCCATACCTACCTGTGCACTTATTTATTCTTCGTCGTGTCAATTCAACCTTCCACAGCCTGCGCTAATATAAAAAGCAAGGCACGCTAAGAGTAACATAATTGAAACTGTAACCGTGCTTGATGCGTGTTTTATGACACATGCTCTCATTTTCAAATTTAGAACGTGGCTCATTCATCCGTTGCAAAACCTAAGCGCAGAAGAAAGACAGGGACACAGGGAGAAGATATTAGGGTGAGCTCACTAAAAATAAATCTGTTGAAATAAATACCCCCGTGGCATTTGTTGTGGCGAGTCAAGAGAGTTTGCCAGACACCAACAGGCAGATGAACAACCAAAGGCGCTGTTACGAGACACAGCGGACTGCATTGTTCCGTGTTTGCTCAGGACCCAGGGCTTAGCTGCAGGAACGCAAATTCCTAAACAAGCCGGGCGGGCGGGCGGTGGCTGGCCGGCAAAAAGAGGGTACGGGAGCTGCTGCGGCAGGAGCAGCTGCCGTTTAAAAATGTACCGTTCAACATTTCACGACGGCGACGCGGGACCGTGAGCAACCCTCGCTTTGGCGGTGTTGGGGGGGCCCGGCGGGTGTGGGACCCCCCCCCCCCCACCCAATCCCACACCGCGCTTTTACGAGGCGCGCGAGATTGACGCGGAGGCGTCGCCTGACCCAGCGTTGCGCGCCGCTCGCCACCCGTGTGTGTTTATCCGATCAGCTGTCACTTACCCCGCGCACGGCTCCTTGTTTGAGGGGAAATTGAGAAATTGCTCGCCGCCGCGTCGCCGGGGCGCAGCTGACAAACTGCCTCCCCGTGACTCGCGAGCAACCAACAAGCAAACGGACCCGGCGTCGTAACCCGTTCCTCACCCGCCGGTGCCGTTGCCGCAAGCGAAGCCCCGTTTGCAAGGTTTTTTTTTGCCACCTGTGCAGTTTCACCGTGCCATGTAAACGATGCGGGCACACGTGACACACGTCAGCGGGTCCGAGACATTCGGTAGACAACTGCTGTCACCCTGACTTCGTTGTTTGCCAGGCAGGATTGTTCCATGCGGTCATCATTGGCGGGCCTTTTGGTTGGCTTTTGTTTGACTCTTCAGCCAGATGCTCGCCGCTTTTTGGGATCCCGCCTCTCGCTCTTGCGGTTGCCACCTGTGCTGGCTTTTCCAGGATCGCCCTCTTTTTTACGTAGCTGTCCAGTAATCTGAGACTTCCCGGGACGTTAAGAGTCCCGAGAATTCTGTCAGTTGCGTCGAAATGCAGCATTCGAGACAATGCATTTACGCGTAGATCTCTGCTTCCTGGTATTGTGAGATATTCTTCTTCCCACGGTATGTCCTATTTTATTTGGACACAATCACCCTCAGGGGTGGCAACTCGAAGTGCGTTTTTTTTAAGTGTACGGAGGACCGCATCCGTGATGATTCCTCAGGACAAGTTTTAATTGTTCGGGGTAAACAGGAAATATTACAAACCTACAGCGGCATTTCTTCTTTGCCCGACGCCAGCCCTGGACTTGGGCACAGACGGCGAGCGACTTCGTTATAAATGGGGACAAAACAGATGAAACTAAGCTCAACGCCGATGGCCACGAGACATTCGGCTAAACGGAAACGCTATCGAGGCGGTGACCACGAGTGATTTAGGGAGAGGAAAGTCGAGGCAATTTCAGCAATTGCAGAAGTGAGATTGATTGCGACTGCCAAGCGTCGGGGCCAACGACTGCAGGCACAGGACGGCCTTGGTGCTTGGTTAGGTGGATGTTGTGTGATGATGATGATGACATTACGGAGCCATTAAATAGAGAGCCTCGCAACACCTGCCTTGGTTTGTTGTGGAAAGCGAGAAATCGTAGCTGCGAGTGATTCCTTGCGATTTTTCCTTTCCTTCGAAAAGTCCTGTGTGGAACAAAAAAAAACACTTGAATTAAGACACGGCAACAACGTACGCAGCCGGCCCGTGTTAAATGCCGACGTTGCCAATATCTCACCTGAGCCTGTAATTACCTGGGCAGGACCCCAATACCAGGATGTCATGAAGCTAACTTTGCTCAGAGGTGTGTCTGCTGTGCGTGAGTGTGCGGTTTCTTTTTTTTTGTCACACCACCTCTGGCAAGTTCTTTACCATTCATCTTTTTTTATATAAAAAAAACCCCGAGGATTAAGATGCAACTTTGGTGCCAGAAATACATACGTGTACATTTTAAATTGTCTCTCTGAAGTGAGAAGAGGGATAAAACAATGATCAGGGTTTTACAGTTGGATGTAGGTTTGACAGTTTGAAAGTTATTACTGTTATTACACAGCTTTCACGTTGTGCCGGCAATTAAGAGGTGGCGTGGAGAAATCTGTGAGATCCCCTGAATGTGCCCCCCCTGCCCCCCCCCTTGTTTCCACCTGGTTCGCAAAATGCACGTCCGTCACAACGGCGACAGTGGTGGGAACCCTTCACAGAGTGGCCCCGTGCCTGCTTGGCTGCTTTTGCCCTCGGTCAACAAGTGTTTGTGGCCGCCGTGATTATTATCGCAGATTTTTCGCGATGATGGATGAAAAGTGCCCGGTGGGCTCCCTCGCAGTGGCGACGGGCCCCACGGAGCGCGGGAGTTATTTATTTACTTACGTGTTCCACTTCGCAATTGCCCCCCATCCCAGGTGTGTCTCGTCGCTGTCAATATGAATAAAACATAAACCCATTTCCCCACCAATTAGCTCCGCTGGGCACACCTGACCGGGGAAATCTGGCAAACATGGGACGCTCTGCCGCCCCCCCCGCCCCCCCCCCACGTCCCCCCCCCCCCACCATCTCCCTCCCTCGTGGGTTCCTTGTGATGCCCGATGGCATTGGCCAGAGATCGCCATTTGACACATTTAATTCCCTGCGCGTCTGTACTTGTCTGTGTGTGTGTGACGATGTGTGTGTGTCTGTGGGGAGCAGTAATGTATAGTGGTTGATGCACTGAGCTATGGACATGGTGACCTGAGTTCGATTCTCAGCCACGTCTAACATCAGTGGTGATTATCTGGCTTGGTCCCAGGACTCCCCTTAAATGAGTACCTGGTGCGATGGGTAAACATCAGCACTGGGGGATAGATACGGCTGGTTGTGATGCTAGCCACAACAACCCCTTGTGTGCCATCCGGCCTTAATAGGCACTCCGTCATAACACTTGAAGCAACAGTCTATTGAAGGCTATACTGGGGTAGAGTATTTGTCTTTGTCTGTGTGTGTGGGGTGAACATTGACAATGTTAGAGCTATAGAATACAATCCCAACGATCTGGGATAGATTCCTGGCCACGCAAAACATCTATAGCATTTTGGTATTCAAACCTGTCATGGGCTTCTCCTGGGTCACCTCAACCTCAAATTAGCACCTAATTCAGTGTTGCAAACATTTGCATTGGGGTGGCTAGCATGTTAATAACCACACTGCTCCATCGTGCATCTTGGCAGCCTTAATAGATGCTCATTATTATCAACAACACTTGTCTGCAACAGCCTCTGAGCCTAAAGTTGGAATCTTTGTCTCTGTGCGCACGTGTGTGTGTGCCCGTGTGTGTATACGCGCGTGCGTGTGGCTACGCCAATGCAGGCACTGCAGGCGATGGCTCGGCAGTATCTCCTGCAGCACCAGGCCGCGTCACTCAAGCCACAGAAGGTCAACGACAAGCAGCCCTCCCTGCAGGTGAGCCCCCCCCCCCAATATAAAACCCCAACCCTCGGGGTCACTGGGCAGCCAAAGTCAATAGGCGGCTGGCTTTTTTGTGACACAGACTGTTGGGGAAAGTTTCTGTGAGCGAGCACCTATGAAGGTCGGCACGGCACACGAGGGGGTGGGTGGCCAACACCGCGCCCGGCCGCCTTAGTCTCCCCAGTGGCGATGTTTACACACCTACACCAGGTACTCATTTGAGGCCGAGTCGACCTAGGGGAAGCCCATGACCGGATCAGATAATCTGTCACTGGTGTTGGCCATGGGCAGAAATCGAACCCGGGTCGTCGGGTTCATAGCGCAGCGCGCTAACCGCGACACCACCGCACACACACACACACGTGCGCCTTAGTGCCACATGGGGCATGCACGCACGCGCGTGCGTGAGTGCGCGATTTGGGTCCGCAGGGCGATCGCGTGCCAAGGAGACGCGGCTGTGTTTTTGTGTCTTGAGCTGCTCTTTGCGCTCGGGCGCGGAAGGGCTCGGTTTGACGAGTCGCTCTTCGTGAATCGCCGCGCGTGCAAAAAACCCAAAAACACCACGCCGCCGCCGCCAGGAAGAGGGCTGCGACCGGTGGACTGCGGCGACGAAAGCGCAACGAGCGCCCAAGTAATCCTTTCTGTTTGTGATAATTGGCAAAAGTGTTGTAGATTTTGCAGTCAGCTCAAAGGCGGCGGTGGGTGAAGAGTCGAGATGCGTTCGCTCACGCTTGCCGAGGGAGCTTGTGCTGGGCGCTGCTATAATGGAGACAGAGGCCTCCCGAAGGGCCTTTCACAGACTGCTGGGGCAAGTGAAAAACTATTAGACTCTTTTTATTTTACCAGGTAAGGCCCACTGAGCTATGTAGCTCTTTTTTGTGGAAGCGACCTGGCCACAAATGATCGCCCAATGAAGTAGTAGCTTATCACTTGGAGATGTATAGTGGCAGCCAAATGCTGTTGATTCCACATGCGGAGGGGGAAAACACGGAGGACCCGGAGAAAAATGCACGCGACCATAGGGAGACACGCAAATTCCAAATATACAAGCGTCGGGGTTGGAATAGAACCCACAACCTCCTGTACACCAGGCGAGGTAGTTAATATCTCACCACCTCGGCGTCCAAGTGCTGTTGGTGAGCACCTGTTAAGGTTAGCACGGTGCACAGAGTTGTGGGCATTGCCGGCGTCACGCCTGGTCGCCTCCCCAGTGCTTATGTTCACGCACAGCACCAGGTACTCGTTTAGGGCTGAGTCGACATAGGGGCAGGTCCAAGACCGGTTCCCCTGTCACTCGCCACTACATACGTGCATACACATACGTGACTCACCGTGGAAAATAAATGACGTACTCATTGCACAATGAACTCATGCGCCGCTCTGCATAGATTACCAGTGCACTGCTGCCTGCACGGAAGGGTGGTCTCTTACGAATGGGATGATCTCCAACTCTGTCCGATCGTTATTGTGCAATCTATTGTCCAAATCCCTGTACCCTATCATCATCATCATCATCATCTGCCATTGTCTATCCACTGCTAGATGAATGCCCCCCTCACCTCCCCCCCCCGCCCACCATTGCCATTCCGTATGTTCCATCGCCGCTAAGACCCATGAACCCATCCAATAGCTCCGTCTTCACAGTGGGTCGTCATCTTTTGGGCGCATTCTCTCCTTCCATCACGCGTCACATCCATCCCGTCGCCGGGAAAAGTGTCGATGGTGCTGGCGGGAGATTACTTTATGAATTGCGTTCGTGCTTTCGAATGTATACTCCCTTCCATTTGTTTTAACGGTATTCCATTGTGAATCGAAGTAAGGGTGCCTTGCATGGCGGATCTAGGCCAGAAGGTGGCTGCAGATTAATTCAAATTTTTAATTTGACTTGACTCATCATCCATCGGCAGTCATCGTGTCCAGCGACGTAATCCTGTGCGAGCCCATTCACTTTTCTTATTTGTCAAAGACTATGCACCCTTTTTTTTGGTGTTTGTTCACTAATTCACCTATACCTTATGCCCTAAACAAGAGTGTGGCATATATAGTTTCACTTTATTGCATTGGAGACCCTAAGAGAGCAACGTTTTTAACGAGTTGCTGTGTCCAGGTGCAACGCCCACACTAAACGCGCTACAGTTTTTAGCTTAATGCAGGCTCCACGTAAAGCGTATAATTGCCTGCATTATTGCGGTCTAGTCGGGGTGGCTGGCTGTCTCAGGAAGCTAATGCTCTTGTCGGGGCACTGAGCCAACACTTCTGGGATTTTGGGTTCAAGCCTTGGGACGGGCACACTCAGAGATGCAAAGCTTTTGAGTTGCAATGGTGCTATGAACGCTTTTAAGCCCATCGGTTGAGTATTTTATTTTTGTTACGTGTATATATATATCGTTTCCTTTTTTGGTTTCCGGCCACCAATTTTAATCTCATTTCAACTGTGATTTTGGCGTTAACAGACTAAGCGTCCGTTTCGGTTCTCTCACCGAGCAGTTTGGGGGGCCCTTTTGTTTCGGAGAGAACGGGTCCATGGAAGTGTACGCCGTGGAGCTGCCCGAGTGGCCCAACGTGGGTGGCAGCACCTACCCCCGCCCACCACTCTGCCACCGAGAGTAATGTTCGTAGTCGCATGGCAGTCAAATTGATGGGTTCTAATTTTCAGAGCTGGAATTTAGCCTAATTAAGTGGAGAACAAGATTAAAAGTGGTGGCGGAGGGGAGGTTGTGTGTGTGCAGTCATTGGAGACTGGACTAAGGCCATCAACTCACTCAGCTTGAGAACCCAGTTTGATGAGAGGCATTTGAAATCTGGATTGCGAACCCAGAATCTCAGTGGTACCAGCTTAGCCACCTATCCCCCTTCTTCCCACTTTGCTGATTTTTTTATCAAAATAAAGCGAAATGCACACACGTTGTGCAAAATACCATCAGCACGAAGCAATGCTTGACCATTTTCATTGGCGCACCATGGAATACCGGATAGGAAGGTCATTGAGTTAGATGCTGGAAGAGATCACACAGCATGTCAGCATGGGAACCATTCCTGTGCAAAGGTAGCACGGCCACTTTGAGCTGCAGCAAGCAGAATCGCATCCTCTGCGGGCACGCAGGGTGATATACACACGAAAAATGAAAACCGTAAAGTACATCGCGGTTAGAAAACACCGAAAAAAATTCAATTGTTTGCAAATGAAGTACAAATAGCATGTTTAGTGGAATCTGTTTAACCCACATTAGTTCTCATTTAGCCACTTACACAGCGAGAGAAAGAGAAAAGCGAAAACCCGCTGCAACTAATTAATGTTAATTGATAGGGAGGGATGCCACAGAATGGAATTAATGACATTATTACCATCTGACAGCATTTAGTTGATTAAGATTTAAAAGGTCAGCTTTTATGAGGAATATTGATGGCACGCTGTTAATGATATCTGCTTGTGTGCTAACGACATCTTGCCCACAGACGCTTGCTAACGGCAGGCTAATGCCACCCGCACTCCTCGAACGCCGATTATCAACGCGAAACAGAGCCGCTGAAGCAACGTGCCAGGCGTGTGCACGACTTATTGAAGGCGTGGGTCTGGGCCGCTTGTTGAGAGGCAAACGCGGTTTTTCGTCGGGCGAACGCGAGCGCTCGGGCACCAACGGTTAAAAGCGGTCCTTCTTCGTCTTCTTCTTCGCGCGTGCGTTGCCCATACGGCGCCGCCGTCAGACTCCGCACGCAGTGGCCGGTTGACACCTCAAGTTTACTTCGTTTCGCCAGTTTGAGTTGCCGTTCTGGAGATCGGAAAGACGGTCTATCGATGATTGGTCGCCGGGTTTGATGTCATCAGTCGTGACTTATTACTTTACGGAATGGGCCGCGCGAAGGCTTCCATCTTCCACTCCAGCTGGGAACTCTATAGAGACCGGGATTAGTCTCATCCGTGACCTGGGGAATTAGTTCGCCAGTAGGGGGCGATGATTGCTTTGTGTATAATCCTAATTGAAACATTTGCAGGCAAATTGTTTAATTATGGAAAATTATGGGCTGTCATGTCGGCACACATTGGCCTACCCTTGCAAATGACATCAGGGGATCTTTAAAGTCCACTGTGGAGACGTGCGGTCCGTAGTAGTATGATGGTTCTAACACCTGCAGTATTAATCAGGGGGGCCACTGAATTTGAACCGCAAACCTCTGCAACGAGTGGCATACGCACTATCGCTAGGCTGTGCCACTGCCATTGAATCGGCTCGCCGTGTAGATTTGTGAAATTCCCATACCCACCGGGCTGCGATTTCACCAGGAGATGGAAGTACAGCAAGTAGGTTTGTGAACTCGTCTGCATGACACGGCTCAACCTCTTGTTGATCTCATACAGACTAAGATGCTGATCCTGCCCGTGTGATTTTGAGGCATTGGCGTTTTTTTTTGCATTTCATGATTATTAGGCTGGAATTGGGGGCTGGTTATAAAGTCAACAACCAGTACCCAGGGGGTGAATGCTTTGAACCGTGACATGGCCAGGGGATGGCAGGATAAGAATGGATTGAATCTATCTGCGTGGATATTTGAGTACTCTTCCCTATGGGTTTATCCAGGTTCTATTGGTATCCGCTTACAAACAATCTGTAATCGAATTGGCCATACATCCAAATGTAGGGCCCTCCTCCAAAAGAGTTGTGAGACTCCGCAAGGCTTTCCTGCGTACAAAAAAAGCCAAGTTATTATTATTGCTGTGCGTGGATTTATGGCGCAGTGGTTAGTGTACTGCGCTGTTAACCTGGTGACCCGAGTTCTATTCCCGTGCGTGGCTAACACCAGCGCTGAGTGATATCTCAAACGGCCCTGTGTGATCACCCCCCCCCCCTTTTTACAAACCCGTACTGACTGGTGTGGTGAAGTATAGTCAAACAACCCCCACAATTAACACGGAGATCTTCAAATAAAAGTGAGTTAAAAAGGTTGTAGGTGTTTATTTTTACACTATTATAAACTGCAGTGGCATTTAGCGTTCC